TCAGCAGAGCCCCACGCGGTGCTCAAACCCACAAACCATGAGACCATGACCTGAGCCCAGGTTGGTCGCTCAACGGACTGAGCCACCCAGGTGCCCCAAAGGTGACGAAAAAGTTTTATGAGAGGTGTGGCTGCACAACACTGTAGACACTGAATGCCACTGAACTTACACTTGAAGGTGGTGAACAGTCTGATTTTCATCAAATAAATGAGGGGGAAAAATCCAAGTGAAGCTTTTATGCACTGATGTAGGAAGATTACCAAAATAAGTTTTCTTTCATTTTTAAAGGTTTTGAGTAATCTCTACACCCACCACGAGGCTGACACCCACTAGCATGAGATCAAGAGCTGCACGCCTCACTGACTGAGCCAGCCAGGCGCCCCCCACCATTTTTTTTCCTTTTTGAAAAATGTGCATGTAGGGGTGCCTGGGTGACTCAGTTGTTTAAGCGTCCAACTCTTGATTTCGGCTCAGATCATGATCTCACGGTTCCTGAGTTCAAGCTTGCTTGAGATTCTCCCTCTCTCTCTGCCCCTCCTGCATTCACAGGCTCCCTCTTACTCTCAAATAAACATTCCCACACTCAATGTGAAGCCTGACATGGGGCTCGATCTCACAACCGTGAGATCATAACCCAAATCGAAATCAAGGATCAGAAGTTTAACTGACTAAGCCACCCAGGCACCCCACAAAATAATTTTCAAGTGAAGAAAGCTGTGGAGTGTATTAAGGAAAAATGCAGAAATGTGTACTTATCTCCTTGGATCTCATATCATATTCAAAAGCACTCTGCATAACCACAATATCTCCTTTTCCTAGCAACATATGCTGTTATAATCATCGTATGGGATTAAAACATGAAAATCAAGGTAACAATGATCTTTGGGAAGACAGAGCAAGTGTAATATGGAAAAGGTCCATAGGGATCAAACTCTTTCATTAATGTTTTTTTACTTAGACAAGATCTGAAGCACAAAAGGCCAAAAAAAAAAAAAAGCAAATGTGACTAGTGTGGGTGGTGGGAACATGAGTCTCATACTATACTGTATACTTTTCTGTACGCTAGGATTCTGTAACTGACACTGAGGGAAATAAAAAGACCAGAAGGAAATCCCCAAATGATAACTATTCTTAGTGGTGAGTTGATAGTTTTATGTTTTTCATCTATATGAACTGCCTACATTTTCCACAATAAATGAGTAGGACTCTTGTAATGGGAAAAAAAAAATAATGAAAGCTACATACGTCACAACTCAACTGACGAACACAGTCTGTCCACTGGCACCCAATCCTTTTTCAGAGCAGACTCGCCGTGTCTGAGCCATGGCTGGGTGCATGACTGTCCGCCACGAGACACCGCAGCCACAGGGGGCCACAGACTTCAGGACTTGCTCATGGAAAAGAAAGAGAAATAAAGGTTCTCTCCTTAAAAGTGGGCATGTCCCCCCCCACCCCCCCGCCAACCGGGAATGTGTTACAGGCAACACTTTTTTTTAAAAATTTGAGAGACAGCGCACACAAGCGAACGCGCACACAAGCAAGTATGCATGCGTGAGCAGGGGAGTTGGGGGAGGGGGGAGGATCCCAAGCAGGCTTCGCGCTGTCAGCACAGAGCCCGACACGGGGCTAAATCCCTCAGACTGAGCCATGACATCATGGCCTGAGCCGAGATCAAGTTGGATGCTTAACTGACTGAGCCACCCAGGTGCCCCCAGGCAAGTCTGCTTCTAACCATGAATACAAACCACCACCATCCAAGGGGAAGGTACTGTGGAGAATCCGAATTAAAGAAACGTGATGGAGGCGCCTGGGGGACTCAGGAGAATCTGTCTCTGTCCCTCTCCCCCGCTCTCTCTAAAATAAATTAAAAGACACTGGGGGCTCTCAATCACTTCATTACACACTGGACCAGACTCACCCTGCACCACACCTGCCTCCTATGGTCTGTTCATGAGGTCAGACGATCTTATTTGAGCTAGTTTGTATGTGAGCCTCTGTTGTCCCAGATCAGCCCGCCTGCGCCGTAGCTAATGCTAATGATGGTGGAGAGACCGCTGCAGGGTGCGTCTTCCATCTCTGCTACTGGAGATACCTCTTAAGGACAAGGAACTATCCATCTTTTATTTATTTATTTATTTTTAATTTTAAGAGAGCACACATGGTGCATGCATGTGCAAACAGAGGAAATGCAGAGACTGAGGGAGGGAGGGAGGGAGGGAGAGAGCCTTAAGTGGGCTCCATGCCTAAACTATATCCCAATGCAGGGCTCGATCTCATGACCCTGGAGATCATGACCTGAGCCAAAATCAAGAGTCGGGTGTTTAACCGATTGAGTCCCCCATGCACCCCTCGTTCTTTTATTAAAGCCATCTAAGTTCTCTCGATCAACCTAGAAGGTAATGCAATATTCCAAAGTAAATCCCATTAAGGTTTTTCATGACATAGGACAGGCTAATGATTAAATGTTCATACAGAAATAAGGCTCAAAAACAGAAAAGAAAAAGCACCCAAAAAAGCCAGGGGCAAGTTGCCTTGTATGAAAATATATTTTAAATCTATAGTTATTTATAATATTAGCACATTAAGTTGTCAGATGAATGAAACAGAGTTCAGAAGCAGATACGTACAGATTTATATATCTATATCTACCTATGGAAAGAAACAGAAGTCATAAAGGAAAAAATGGAATAAAACTGACATTATAATATAGTTTATATCGTCTATGACCAAACACAGACATGGGTAAACACACCTAACACCACAAACAAAATTAACAGACCTGCAAGAATGTGGGAGAAAATACTTTGATATAATGAAAGATTAGCATACCAACTATATTTTTAATGCCAATAAATCAATTTAAAAATTATTTAGCTGAAAAATGGGTCAAAGGGCACACACTAGGCATTTACGGGAAATTCGGAAGACCAATACAGATAGAGGCCTCCCCTTCCTGGTTATCGGGGACACACCCAATAAAACTTCATTTTTCACCCATCAGATTGACCGAGACTGAAGTCTGACGATATCAAGGGATAGAAAAAGCAGTATTCTCTCGGGCTCTACAGAGTTGGAGGGGAAATTTGTTCAGCCACTCTGGAGGACAATTTGGCAGGGTCTATTAAAATGAAAAATACACAGAACTCACGACCCAGCAATTCTAGTTCTCACTTCTTGGTATCTACTCCTGAAAATGCCCTGCAGATGTGCAGAAAGACATTAAGGAGTGTTCACGGAACAGCACTTACAATGAAAACTCAGAAGTAACCTGAAAGGTTCCATTTACAGAACACTGGCCAAGAAGCATTCTGTGGGAGAAACCAGCAGACTGCAAGAACACGGCAGCCGGACACCCCCGCCATGAACACAGACTGGAATTTTAAAAATTGCAAAATGTAGGCCTTGCAAAAAACAGGTTTACGTTTCTCTATTTTGCCACACCAAAGAGAAGAAAAAGTTCTCACCTTCAACTGGGGATATTTAAGTTAATGATCTTTGCAAAGGGTAAAGACTATGAGAATTGTACAAAGGTTAAAAAAAAAAAAAAAAAAAAACACTTGTAATCAAATTTGTACTTGCTCTTTTCACGGACTTGCAAGTCACCAGTTCGGCGCCAGTCCAAACTGGGCAATCGTGCTTAAGACCTTATTCGAAGTACAAGAAAGGAGTTAAGTGCTCCAGGTATGCTGTCACACCACGTCTTATATGGCCTGAGTCCAAATGCTAAGGCCAATTCTGGAGAAGTCGACCACTTGGTTTCCCAGTACTAAATTAAGTGTCCTAATCAAATGACAACCTATTAAGGGGCCACGCCAGCTAATGAGAATGTAGCCAAGGCTGCTGTCGTTACACGATAAATCAGGCAAAACAAGAAGCATCTGAAATAGCAACTGTGTAATAAATTCAAAATAAGAGCGTCGAAAGGACAATAATCAACTTGATCTTCAAAAACTTTGAATAAGAAAGTCAAAGGATCCTTAGCAAATAATATGTGGGATCAAAGTCCAACTCTGATGGGGACATGTTTTTGAAGAGCTAAGTGAAGGGAAATAAAATTGGTATCCGCTCCGCCCCGAGTAGTTCGCGCGCACATACTTTTGGGCCACAGACAGGAGGGCTAGACTGCCGCACTCCGAGCCCCCAGAGAATTATTAGCAGCCGCTCATTGGTCTGAACTGGCTGCTTCTCTTCCTCTGGGAGGCAGGCGGTCAAGGCTTGCAGCGTGGTCCAACATGTGCTCGCACACTGACAGCTCTTAGCTACTCTCTGGTCTGGCTTCACGGAACCGCAACGGCTCAGAAGGAACCCCTCCGTCTGTGTCTCTGAGTGTCGACCAAACAGAATTTAAGGTCCAAGTCGCCCTGCCCTGTCTCTCAGCGGGGTCATTTTTAGAGGAGTTCCTGGTGTCGCACATTGTACGGATGGGGACACACCCTGGATGGATGCTTCATGGGCCCACACCTCAGGAGCTACTGGGAAGCCGGTGGTCCCAGCGACGTCCATCAAGGACCATGCCACGCACGTGCTTATGTGGGGGAAACGACTTTATACATCATCAGGAAGTCTGGAAGGTTCAAAATCTATTTTCACTCACCGCGGTGATTCACGGCAAACACTCAATAATCAGTTGGAAACAGTCTGTTGTAGGTGTTTAACTTTTTAAAACAAAAAAGATCATCTAGGACATTTCTTCTAGTCTTTTTTTTTTTTTAACTTCTTAAATGTTTATTTCTGAGAGAGAGAGAGAGAGACAGCGTGAGCAGGGGAGGGTCAGAGAGAGGGAGACACAGAATCTGAAACACGCTCCAGGCTCTGAGCCAGCTGTCAGCACAGAGCCCGACACGGGGCTCGAACCCACGAGCTGTGAGATCATGACCCAAGCCGAAGTCGGACCCTTAACAAATTGAGCCACCCAGGTGCCCCCGTCTTCTAGTCCTTCTAAAATGAAGCAATACACTAACAATTTTCAAGAGTAACTGTATCAACGAAACACCAACAGATTACAGAGAAACATTTTAATTGATTAAATATATTATTTTCAAGATCTTTTTGAAATCGCACGTGTACTGTACTAATCAACAGCCAGAGGCAATAGAAAAGTTTAAAACCCAAACTGCTCTGACGCGAGCGCACGACAGGAGCCACTGCTATGTGAGGTGGTCCCTGCGGTTCCCGAGAACGATGTTTTTGCAGAAGGTAAGTCACCTTAACATATGCAAGAACAAAACTGTAATCAAAAGGCTGGAAGAAATATATATTAGTGCCTGCTTTTTAAAAGTTTATTTTACATTTTAAATACAGTATTTTCCATTAAAAAAAAAAAGCCAAGAAGGGCCTAACCCCACGGCTCCGCTACCGTATATACATGAGTGCGGATGGGCAGCCTGAACGTGTTCGCAACAGAACAGCGTGGACGCCTCCGGGCTGCGACTAGTGAATCCAAATTAAAGAACACAAATTACGCTCTACTCAGAGGAGAAAACGATCCAGTTCCTGAATAACCAAAAGAGGAGAGAGTTAGGTACGTACAAAACCAGGTATTAAAAACCAGAAAGAAATGCACAGACAACGACCGGGCCCTCGGTGCTGTGAACTGTACAGGAAGCAGCTGAATCGATGGGGACCCTCCTGCAAGAAGTGATTTAGGACTTGAAGTTTTAAAATTCTAAGTCTTTCAGTAACAACATCCAGTACTGTTTTCGTATTGCTGTCTTTGCCACGTTCTATGGATACCACGCTCCCTTCTGAAAACAGGACTCTCTCTATGCTACTCAATCGCTCCTACAAATTTGAGGCCGTATCTGTTCTCAGTAAGGAAAACAAAGACGTGCCTCTTCCCATCTATAAAGACATAATGCAGATTAAAGCTGTGCAACGATCTCAGCTCGGGCATCTGCTTTTCCAATTCTCTCCAGTGAACAAGTGCAAACCAGACCTGCAAAGGGTCCATGCCTAAGCACGAACACAGGAGAAGACAATGGGCTGTCTCTGGCAGTGATTTCCATGTAGTGGAAAGGGATTCCCCACACGCTCAATTATACTGAAGCAATTTTATAGATTTTAGTTCAGCAGGTGCCAATTTGAGTTGACAAAACCCCCTAACTGTATGCTTGTGTGGAAAACAGGTTCAATTGGAGATACTCTATAAAGCCAAATCGAGGCAGAGTGAATTAACTTGGCCGTGGCACTGGCAGGGGGGTCCCGGAGGAAGAGAAAGGAGCCCGAGCTTGCAGAGGCTTGCTAACCACATGGACCGCCGAGCTGTTCTAGGTGTTGTGAGAGTTCAATTACCAATCAGCCTGGAATGTTCTTAAGATTATCTGGGGAAGTAGTTCTCTGTAACAGGGCTCTGACCTAGACAGCTGTACTCAAAGCAAAAACAATCTGGGTCGTTCAGAACAAAATCGAACTGAGGCAACTTTTCTACTATAACCTGTGAGGTCTGGAGTTTGTACGTTTTCAAAACGATGACCTTCATCTCAAAACGATGACCTTCGTCGAAGTCAGCTGCACCTCGGGCAGACTGGGAACACAAGGACTTCCAATCGGAGGTCACCGTGACTACGGGCTCCCGTAACCACACGAAGGAGGCAGCAATGGACTCACCGGCAGCCAGATGGGGTCAACGTGGGGAGGTTTTATTTCGGAGACCTTAAAGATTTAACACGCAGCTCCCATAACTTCCGCATCCGCCAGCGACTCTGCCAGGCAGCACCCGAGGGCCGGACGGGCCCAGGGACTCCCTCTAAGCCCAGAGGATTAATGCTAAAGAGTCTCAAGGACCCCCTGAGTCCCAACGAGAGTTCATGAGCCATCAGACCAAAATCAAAAGGGGAAACACTGACCGCAACGCTCCACAAAAGTCAAAAGAAACTCAGAACTAAATGCCGTCTCCTGCCCAACCCTGCACGCCAGCCTCGGCCACGTCTTTATCTGGTATAATAGACTCTGTAGTAGACTGACTTTGACCTCCACAAAGAGTAGGAGTTGTCGAACTTGAGGAGGTAGACGCCCCTCCCTGGGTACTGGTGGCTGCCGGCGTACACCTCCTCGTGACAGTCCCGCCGGTACACAGGCACGATCTCGTCCAGCAGAGGCTTGGCGGCGTTCTTTTTGGCTTTCTCTTCGCTACTGACGTTCTCTGGGGGAAGAAGGAGGCACATCAGTGTCGGGTCCAGGAAAGCCCTGTGTGCACCAGCACCGAAACCCCACCCTCTCTGTGAGAAACCGGTCAGGAACTCTCTGGAGCAGTCTACCGCTGCCGTGGGTGCAAGCACACTCAGGTTCATTTCCGCCTTCCTTCGTTGCAGGTTCATGCCTCTACCTGAGCGACCGCGATCTGGGGTTGCAATCCCTCCCGCCGGATTCTGCCAACCGCTCCCACTTCGGAGCCCCAGTCCTCCCTGTCCGCACCCCTTTAGCCACCTCCTCCAGGCAGGTGGCATCTCGCTGTCGTGAAGCTCTCCTTCTCTTCTTCAACAATGTGAAAATCCTATTTTAGGAAGGGGACACCGAACTTGTGAGAACTAGTATTTTCTGTCTGCCCTAGATGTAAAAAGTAAAATGAGGAAACCACAGTAGAGGAAGGCACCGAGAGATGCTCTGAAAATCCATTACTGTCACCACAGACCCGTGTAATCCAGGGATGGCCCCAGTGGCAAAAAAACACGAGCTCTGATTCCAGGTTTGCCCCAGGGGACAGTGTCTGAACTGTAATGACAGGAGGTTAGGAAACAAGGACGAGCCAGAACAACGCTGAAGCAGCTTAAAATCTGTTTCACGTATTGAACATGGACAACGTTGGGAAAGCAGGTCCGAGGAACGCGCAGGTCCCTAACTGGGCCCGGCAAGTCCTGCAACGGCAGTGAACCCCACGAGGGCTGCCCGTGGCCGCTGTTGTCAGCAACTTAAACCGGGCACGCCCGGGAAACCCTCCAAGCGCGAGGAACTGGAGGAAATAGGCTGCAATGTGGTGTCCCGACGGGGCCCTGGGACATGAGACAGAAACGAGGGAAAGCTGCATACGTCACGGACCCCGGCTAGTGGTAATGGATTCACATGGGTTATCGGGACGATGAACGCACCACAGGACAATCCCGATGTTAACTGTACAGGAAGCTGGGTGTGGGGCATATGGGAACTCTTTGTACTGTCTTTGCAACTTTTCTCTATAAACCTAAAACTGTTCTAAAATTTAAAAAAAAGAAGAGCAAATGACAGTCTGATCAAATAGACCCAAATCTGATTTGCTTTATCACGGCAATACTGAAATGTACTTCGTTTGCAAACAGGAAATGCAGAGCCCTTCAGAGTGCAAACTCTTGCCTATGAGGATACCCATGAAATGGGTTACTGGTCCATTAACCCAGGGTCCCGATTTTGTTCAAAATCTGTAAAGCTGAAGGTTGCTGGGACAGATGAGCAGGGCACCTTTCGTCCGTGAAGCAAAGACTCGGGACCTGGCAACCAGCGTGCCTGTGACGAGTCTGAGCAAGAGGAGTGACCATCCACACTCAGAGAAAACAAACCGCTCTGGCTTTCAGGACCGAGTGGAGAAAAACCCAGACAAGGAACGGGAAGGCTGGCCTGCCCTTGCCCCTTAAGCCAAGCTCACAGGACCCCCATCAAATGCACAGGGACGAGACACGGGGCCAGGGCCTTGGTAAGGACGGACAAACGTGGCTTGTGAGCTAATCTCCGAAAAGGGAACAGGTCACTCTTGGCAAACATCTCCTGAGACCCTTGCTGCCGCCTCTGCGCACACAGAGGGATGAGTGGATTAGCTGCAGGTGGAAACCACCGCAGGCTGGGAGCAGTGCAGGGACACGAAGGCCATGTCCATCTGAGGGACAGCAAACACTAGGGCACAGATCAGGGAAGCCCTGGCTCCCACCTCCAGAGAAGCACCGGACACACCCCCACCCCGTTTCCCAGCACCCTTCCCAACACCAGGAGCCCCAAACCACACTCGGCCGAGGGCTTGCGCCAGGAAGCCTGCAGAGGCACCAGCAGCCAGGGCCGGAGACCTCGACGGCCTCCAGCTGCTGCTGAACCAGGGCTGCCTCTTGTCACTCGCGAAGCTCTCCAGATCCCTGGCAGTCTGCACATAAGCCCCCGCCCAGGCTCCTGCAAACAGCCTGACTCCCCCGAGTCCCCAGGACACAACAGAAAGGCTGGTCGTGGTCCTGCAACTGCTCTGGGGGCCTGGCACCCACCCTGCCCTGCCCAGCTTGCCCTCTTCTGGCTCCCGTCCCTGGCTCCCTGGCGCAGCCGGCAGTGTGGACGGGCAAGGCTTTCTCTTGCTACCGCCCTCCGAGACAAGGCCACGGAAAATAGGATGCCACAGGAAGACCAAACTCCTCCTCCAGACTCTGGGCCCGCCATGGACTTCCGTACATGACCACAGGCCCTGGCCTGCGGCCTGCGTGGCGACACGGTCCAAATGCCCACCTCAAAAGCTGGCCGAACGTTTAGCCCCCCTCCACAGACCTCCGACAACTACCGCTTTTAATCTATCCCAGCGTGATCTCCGTGAAACACTGCCAACCCTATGCAGGAACAAACAGTGTGTCAACAAGTCGGCTGACTCGGGTGCAAGCACAGGGAGGCGCCTGTCCACGGTCACAGTCAGGGCGTTCCTCCCATATCGCCCTCCACTGAGCGCTTACTAGTCTGTGCCCAAGCCCAGGGCTCTCACTGCCCCACAAACAAATCAACGAGTCCTTCTTCTCAGTTAGTGGGCATGTATCTTCTCACCTATCTCCCAGACAGGGAGTGTACACTGCTCTTGAAAACATTCTGTTTTGTCTACTTAGAGAAAATTAAAAAATTATGTTCTTGTGAAATGGGGAAGAACAGCTGGAATTTTTTAGGTAGGACGTTCTGGTGTGAGCTTCTGCATCTACTTTTAAAAAACCATCTTAGGGGCGCCTGGGTGGCTTAGTCGGTTAAGCGTCCGACTTTCGCTTAGGTCATGATCTCGCGGTTCGTGGGTTTGAGCCCCGTGTCGGGCTCTGTGCTGACTGCCAGCTCAGAGCCTGGAGCCTATTTTCAGAGTCTGTGTCTCCCTCTCTCTCTGACCCTCCCCTGCTCACGCTGTCTCTCTCTCTCTCTCTCTCCTAGAAAAAAAAAAAAAACTTTAAAAAAAAAAAAATCTTAGAGTGAAACCAGAAAAGCTAATTATCAGAAATGTAAATTTAAGTCAATTCCAGAGTTGGCAGAATTTCTTGCTGACTCTTTAAACATTTTTCAGAACGATCTTACACATTTGGCTTTTCGACACAAAATGCTCAAAGTAAAACGCTACTTGGAAGGCAGTAAAATAACTCCCCGCCAGGGGACCTGCGGAGCATTAAATAATGTCACGTTCAGGTCCCAGTCCCTTCCGGGAGGCTGGCCTGCCCCTTAGCCTTCACGGCTAAGGTCACACTAACGAAGGGATGAGTCCCTGTCCCCAAGGGTTAACCGGGAAGCATGGAGCAGGGGGACACGGGCACCGTGCCAGTTTTGCCACCCCCTCCTCCCCGCAGCACCCTCAATGGGGCCCGGCGGCTCTACCTTCCTCCTCCTCGTCATCATCACTGGACTCGCTGACGTGCACGCTGACAGCAGTGTTTGGAGAGTCTGTCCATTCAAAGTACACCCCAAATCCAATGTCATAATTGTCTGTCGCAAATTCCCAAAAGAGATACGATCCCTCTTCGTGGGTGGGGACTCGCACGGTGACCACTTCTCCTCGGCCCACTGTAATCACGGAGTCTGCGTCCTGCCGGATCTTCTCCTTAAAGTCTTTGATCTGGGGTCGTGTCCACATGGACGGAGCTGCTATTACTGGAAGAGATTCTAAAGGCAACAGGAATTACACACGCTGAAGCGGACGGGCCGTCACCTGCGGGCAGCAACTCGCACAGGACCCCCATCCGGCCCTGGACAGGCTTCAAGTGCCACCTGGTACCTTGGGACCGAGGACTTGGGAGCATCCAGGCTTCACGTGGTCATCTCCCCCCCGACCGGCTACGTCTGCCACTGTCCCCCGATGCTCAGAGGGGGACACCACACCACTTCAAATAATACATGCAATCCACAATCTTAGCAGTGGTTTGTCTGGGGGCGCCTGAGGGACACAGTCAGTTGGGCATCCAACTTCCGTCCAGGTCATGATCTCACGGTCCAGGAGTTTGAACTCTGGGTCAGGTGCTGACAGCTCAGCGCCTGGAGCCTGCTTTGGATTCTGTGTGTGTCTCTCTCTGTGCCACTCCCCACTCATGCTCTCTCTCATTCTCAAAAATAAAAACATTTAAAAAAAAAAAGATTTTTGGGGCACCTGCGTGGCTCAGTCGGTTGAGCGTCTGACTTCGGCTCAGGTCATGATCTCGCGGTTCGTGGGTTCGAGCCCCGCGTCGGGCTCTGTGCTGACAGCCAGCTCAGAGACTGGAGCCTGTTTCAGATTCTGTGTTTCCCCTCTCTCTCTGACCCTCCCATGCTCACGTTGTCTCTCTCTATCTCAGAAATAAAGAATAAAAAATCTAAAAAAAAAAGATTTTTTCCCAACACTGATTACATATGGGGATTGAAGACTGACCATGGAAAACTTGTAGCTGGACCCAGGGGCACATTCTAATAAAGAAAGGAGATCTGGGGGCACCTGGGAGGCTCAGTCAGTTAAGTGTCCAGCTTTTCAGCTCAGATCATGATCTTACGGTTCCTGGGTTTGAGCCCTATGTTGGGCTTGGGATTCTCGCTCTCTGCCCCTCCCCTGCTCATGTGCTCTGTCGCTGTCCCTTTCTCTCTAAATAAATTTTTAAGAAAAGAAAAGAAAAAGGAGACCTGCACTTAGGAATAAATTCACTTTTGGATCTGGACAAAGAAAACTGGGCTTTGACTTCAGTCACTCCGTCAAAAGAAAAGAAAAGAAAGTCTTGAGCTCTGAGGTCAAGTTCTAGGGGCAATTCTAAAGGGGCTCAAAGAAACGGAAAAGCTCGTACAGCGCCGAGCAGCGTTATGTGCACCAGAGTACTCGGCAGGTTCCCAGACGTGGTCCCAGAGCCTTTGACCAGAGATTCATTTCAAAACACTGACAAACTTGGGCGCTGACTGGCTCAGTTGGTAGAGCAGCCTACACTTGATCTTGGGGCTGGGAGTTCGAGCCCCACGTTGGATGTAGAGATTATTAAAAAACAAACAAACAAACAAAAAAAAACACCCCGATAAACTTATAAAGAAAACCAGGGAAGAGGAGTTAAACCACAGGATTTCAAGGGCTTTTCCAAAGCTGTTTTCTGTTACTTACTCTAAACAGACAAGTCTAAAATGGACTTTCTCGTGAACCACACCACCAACCTGACCACTGTCCCCGACACGCTCTTCTCTTCCCTCCTGAGCGGACTCCTACTCGGGCTTGGGCTCTCCCAGCTCAGTTGTCTCCTCCCCAGGAAGCCTCTGCTCATCTCTGCGACCAGGTCACAGTCCCCACCCACATGCTCTCAACCTACGAGGTGCCCCCCCCCCCAAGCGCTCACGGCAGCTACGGCACCCACCGCGGGTCTTACTCGGCCTCACGCCGTGCCCCCAGCACTCAGAACCTCTTCAGTCGGTTGTTGAACGAAAGAATGAGCTGCCTGTAAGAAGCTAGACCTTTGAAAACGCAAAGTTACCTTCCAGTACTTATGTCTCAAACCACCTTGTAACGTGGGAGGCGGCCTCAGGACGCACCCCACGCTATGAGCCTCACCTCTGGGGCCCCAGCACCTGGGGGTCACCACCCGCAGGGTCCCAGAGCCGGTACTTGGGACCAACAGAATACGGTGGAGGCAGACGTGTTACTTTCAAACTCAGAACATAAGAGACACTGTATCTCCACTGCGTCCCTCTGGACCCCACGCCCGGGAGGAAGCCAGCCCCGGCGCAGAGGGCGCTCGGCCCGAAGGGGAGGGTTCTCAGGGCCAGGAGCCAGCGTCGGCCGGCCAGCCGCGTGAAGGAGCCGCTGTGGACGCAGGGCCTCCCGGCAGCATCCTGACCCCTGGGACCCGAACCACCACCGCTCAGCTAAGCTGCACCTCGGCTCCTGAACCCCCCCAACCCCTCACCTGCCATGTGAGACGATGACCGTTTGTTACCCGTCCGCTGCCAAACTTGGGTCCAATTTGTTACACAACAGCGGATAGCTAACACACAACCCCAGGCAACCTGCTCTTCCATGCTGTTCTAAGGGTCACCAGAAGCACCAGACTCTGACTTAAAAGGGTCAAAAAGCAACCGACTCTCACAAGCAGGTTAATTACTCTTCAATGCTAGTTAGCCGGACCCCCAACTCGCCTTTCGTGAAATCTTGGAATTACATCCTCTGGACAGAGCAACACAGGGGCCAAACCATACCTTTTGGTCCATTCTCCACGGCTTCTTCTGCGGCTTCGGGTTCGAGGTCTTTCTCAGAGTTGTCCGTGTGGGTTTTGGCCTGTCCGTTAACTGACGTCCTATCACCCGGCACAGCTGCGTTCACCTTCGATGATGCAGGCAAAGCAGCCCCCCCAACTGCTACTTCCTGCTGCTTCTGGAGCGCCGCCTGCAGGTAGGGAGAGAGCGAAGATCCGCTGACAGGCCAACGCAGAGCACGTGCATCCCGGCACACGTTCCAGCCCCGCACTGGTGTCCTACCAAAGTGCTCTCCTCCAAGAAACTACTAATACGCTTCATCCGTCTTACCCTCCCTGTGATGAAGATTACCAGTACGATATCAGAGTGAGAGCTAAAAATGATCAAAAAATGGGCAAAAACCTGTAACAAGAGTCACATATTTGTGGCCTGAGGATCGTTAGAAAAACTGACCAGGAAAAAAATAGGTAGAAATCATCAACCCCAAATACAATTAAAGGCAAAGACTGAACCCAGTAACATTTGTTCTTAAAATGGACAGAAGAAAATCTCGATCAGATTCAGAAACACAGAAGCTAAATCAGGAAAATTAAACTTGGTAGAAATAAATGATCACAGAAGAAAATGTGCAAAGGCAGAAACTATCACTAGTAAAATCTGATACAGGCCCCCAAAGGAGGCGACAAATCAAATACAGATAATTATTCTAAAATGAACAAAGCATCCAATGAATTAAACCTTCACCATAAGAAAACCTCACAGCACAATGGAAAACAGTTAACCATGTTATAAAAACCAACAACCTAAGAATTAAAGAGGCTTATAAATGGAGTTTGAGATCAAAATACTTCCTCAATGAAAATTTGTCACTGTTCACACAATTATGAATAAAATACGTGCATTCGTAAAAACAGAATCAAGACGTCCTGAGTCAAAATGAAGAGTAAAAACATCTTCAACACAAAAGACAATAATTTGGGGGCCATTCCACTCTCCTATCAAGATGGACAGATCTTACTAGATACACCTAATTACTACTTCGGCAACCTCTGGGCAACCTGAAGGTGAACATACATGTAGAAAAGTGTACAAATTTGTGTACACGAATGTACAGCTTGACCGTTTTTCCTGAAACAAACATATCCCTGGAACCAACACCAGATCGAGACATTATCTGCCTCCCAGAAGCTCCTTTCCAGACCCTCCCCCTCCCAGTGCAAGGGTAACGACTATTCTCACTTAGAACACTGCACATCTGCTTTGCCTGTGTGCCAACATTACACAAATGGAAGCGGATAATCAATACTCTTTTTTGTGTCTGGCTTCTTTCACTAAACATTATTTTTGTAAAGTTCATCCACAGAGTCACAAGTAATGGTATTTTGTGTGCACTGCTAGAGAGTTCCACTGTGAAAATACAAAACTATCCGTTGTACTGTTAGCGAGCACCTGGGCATTTGAATACCTTCAAACTAAAACAAGAAGTCATAAATGAGCATGCTTAGGGAAATAGAAAAGAAAGAAACAGAAAACACAGGGGGAAAAGGCCTTTATAACCACATGGTTTAGGCTCGTGACACATTTTAGCATACCTGTGCACATGCTTCACGTATCATCTACAAACCTACGACTTCAAAGAACAGCAACACTTCCTATTGGTGCTAACGCAGCCTAGCGATACATGGAAGACTCAAAAGACCTTCTTCCGAGGCTTAGAATCTCAGTCTTCCCACATCAGTATCCTAGATAGAGTACCAGCTTCCAGAAAAGGTGCAGACAACTAAACCAAGTGGGCAAACTCAGAATAGTCACTGAATGACAAGCAAGGGGAAAAAAAACAAAACACTTGTGCTGACAATCAGCGGGCCTCGGTCTGCAGGAGGCCACGCTTGACACCCTCCCGCAGGGCGCACCGGTCCTACGGGACAGCTTGTGACTTGCTTTACGTTCTTGCTCACCTGCACTTGGGGAAGTTTAAGCGCAGGAAGGCACCGAACCATGGCCCACGTAACTACACTTCTGCAGGAACAAGCCTGAGCTCAGTCTTTATAAAGAAATTACACTCTGTGAGGGCTGAGGACCCCGAGCCGACCCTAACCCGTCTCCTCCTCCGTTCCGAGGACCCCACACAGGTGCGGCACCGCAGTGCAAACTCCGGATTCCAGCTCTCTCTGCTTCTCTTTCCAAGGGTCCTGGCTTGCCCTACGTGACTCGGATCTCTTATGTAAATGACAGCGGCCTCTGAGAGGACTGGCGTGCGAGCCACCCCGCTGAAAACCCACCCCGCGGCCCGTCGGGGAAGCAGGGGCGGGGGGGGCGTGCGAAAGCAGAGGCAGGCTCCGGAGGACAGAGCGGAAACCCCTCGGAATGCCCGCCTGTTGTCTGAATAAACTAGCGGGACGCCGCTCTCGTCCCCTCACGACGACCAGCCCCTGCCGCGCTTTCCCGCTCCCGGTAACGCCGAGGACTCCGGGGAAGGGGATCTTAAATGAGGATGTGAGTTTTCAAAGAACTTTCAAAGAGGCTGGCAAAGCGACACGGAACACCGATCACGTCCCACGTTCCCCTCACGCAGGCTCGAGGAGCGGCAGTCGGCACTTTCCGAGAGAAAACAACGGAGCGGAACCGGCTGGGCCCCCTCCGCGGGGCAGGCACGCCTCTGCCGGGCGTGAACCGGGAGTGTCAAATCGGGTCTCTGCCGTATGTACGGGACCCTTTCACACAGGCCTCTGACACTGTGGGGACCAGGACAGGCACCGGGACTTTTATCTGCTTCCTGCTGACGGGGAGGAAGGGCGGGAAATCAGACCGCAGGTGACCAGTCTGATGCGGAACACGGCGACGGCAGAGCCAGGCCTCACCCCACGCCCTTTCCCCGCAGGCACCCACCCCTGCGTGGGGCAGGGATGGAGGAGGACCGTCGCCCGCGGCCGGCCTGGCTCTGCGAGACCAACCGACGGCCTCAGGGGACAGTCCCCCCGCCGGACGTGGTCCGAATCTGTGACACCCCTTCCCCCCCACTGCAGGACATCCAGGGACAAGCACCACCCCCCCCAATGCCACCCCTCAGCGTCCAGGGCGGACTCGCCAGGAAGCCTCCGGGCCCACGCGACCCCCAGACACCCCGTGACGACACAACAGCGGGCGCGGCAGGCCCTGCTCCCTCCTCCTGTCGCTGCGGCGTCAGCGCCTGCGTCGAGGCCGGGCGGCGCACCTGCTGCTGGGCGAGCTGCACCTGGTACAGCTGCTGCATGTACTGCTGGTAGTGCTGCTCCTGCAGCTGGCGGACCAGGCGCTGCTGCTGCTCCGAGCTGCCCGGGTACTGCTGCGCCGCGTACTGCTGGAACTGCACGGCCGTCTGCGAGTTCAGCGCCGCCATGATCTGCTGCCTGCGGAACGCAGAGAACACGCGCCGGTCGGACCGGGGGTGGCCGCTCGCGGCGCAACGAAGCGTCCTAGCTCCTCGTTCCGACCGCCTGCCGCTCTCCAAAGTGACAGAGCGGGTGACGCGGGCCCACCGGCATGACCCCGGGCCCGGAGGAAAGGTTTCGGCACGTAAACTTGGCCTCGAGTTTTTCACGGAGGCTTTGAAGAGAATCTGGGACGGACGGGGATGGGGGCAGGCGGATCGGCCTCGTGTCGCCACCGTGACGACCGACGCTGCGCCCCCACTGCGTGCCCTTCGGCCCCAGCACGCCCGCGCAGGGCCGCCCCGCACCCAAGGCTGAGCGGTGGGGTGCAGCGACCGGGAACTGGGCCGAGATCACGTTGCCGGAGCGGCCAGGACCAGGGTTCAAGTCCGGGCAGTCCTCTCTGACCGGGACGTTGTCAGAGGGGGACTGTCCTCCAGGGCAGAGGCGAGACATTGAACTGCGGGCCGCGGCTCCTCCACCTGCACAGAGGAGCAGCAGGAGGGGCAGGAGAGTGGCTGGAAGAGGCCACCAGGGGCCCTGGTCAGTGGGAAGGAACACCTGAGGGTCTTCAGCATTTAATTTAAAGTGTCTTGGGGCGCCCGGAGACTCAGTCATTAAGTGGCTGACTTTGGCTCGGGGCATGTGGGTTCCACTCCTGCCTCAGGCTCTGAGCTGTCAGCACAGCTTCGGATTCTGTGTCTCCCTCTCTCTCTACCCCTCCGCCACTTGCACTCTGTCCTCTCTCTCTCTCTCTTAAACATTAAAAGAAAAAACTTGAAGGCTGCCTTGAAGAACACGGAAAACCGTATCCGGGCACACGTGCTCCTGTAAACGCCTGTCGCGTTCCTCCAGACAGGCTCCGCGTGCTGACTTGGTTACGTGACCAACTCAACAAAGACCTCGACGGATGACAAATAAAACGAAGCGGAATCCCACAATGCCCCGCGCCAGGCCGCCCCCAGAGGGCGTATTCCTGGTCTCTCTCCAACGGAACAGAACGAGGCCCTGGGTGGCTCTGGGGCTAGCCTGACACCTTTCTTTTCTTTTTTTAAAAATCTTTTAAATGTTTGTATATTTTTGAGAGAGAGAAAGAATGGGGTAGGGGCAGAGAGAGAGAGAAGGAGAGAGAGAGAAGAAGGGAGACAGAAGATCCCAAGCGGGCTCTGTGCTGACAGCAGAGAGCCAGATATGGGGCTCGAACTCACAAGCCATGAGATCATGACCTGAGCTGAAATCAGATGCTTAACTAACTGAGGCCCACAGGTGCCCCACCTGACACCTTTCTGAGACGGTGGGGCCTCAAAGTCTCTGCAGACCTTCCCCCACGTTGCGGTGTTAACCCCTTCCTGACTGTACCCGGAACTCCCTCCTCCAGAGCCGGTCCCTGGGGAGATGGCTGCACTCACCACCCCGCACAGGAAATGGCTGCTGGTCCCAAATCCCATACTGGGAACAGCACCTGCCACAGGCTGCACCGGCAGGTTCTCTGTGCTGGGTCTGCGTCGTCGGGCCCTCGGACTCCGGCCGGCCCGGCAGCCGCCCGAGCACGCGGAGCCCTCAGGTCCACCCCAGGACAGCCGCCCGGACACACGCGTGGGGCACACAGGGGAGAGGGCGGCCCTGCTTACTTCTGCTGCTCCAGCCGCAGCCGCTCCTCCTCCAGCCGCCGCCGCTCCTCCTCCTCCCGCCGTAGCCGCTCCTCCTCCTCTCTCCTGCGCTTCTCCTCCTCCCTCTGCACTCGCTCTCGCTCTTCTTCCTCACGCCGCCTGCGCTCCTCCTCCTCCTTCCTACGAGGGAGGACGGACACCGTGAGTGCCGCGCGAGGAGCCCGTTTCAGAACGGCCCAAGAGGTCTTTCCCCGGGAGCACGGGCTCTACCCTGGGAGCAAGACGGCATGCTGTTCTCACACCGAGACAGCACGCACTCTGCCGGGAGACCTCTCCCCTCCGGAGTCCACGTCACCACACACGGGGCCATGGAAGGGACACCGGCTGCTGCACAGGCAGAAAGGTGTCCGTCGGGAAGACACGCTGCATGCCCACAGGCCGAAGGCTTCCCGAACTGCGCTCACAGCATCACGCCATCCGCCCTGGCCGTCGCTGGGTCTGCGCAGTACATGCAACCATCTGCCTGCCCTGCCGCTGAGGATGCGCTCGGCAAGGGCAAGGGCAGCCTATCTCCCAGCCCGGCACAGTGCTCAAAAGAATATGCTCTTGACACCAGGCCAGAAATGCACGACACCCCTCAAACACCACAGAGCCATAAAACTCCAACTCCGTACTGATGTCTGATACGCTCATGTAACACGAAGGGCAGGCAAATGCATAGGAGAGAGTCTGCAAAGATACACCTTAACCATGTCCCTTACTGTGTACGGAGAGAGAGCATCAAAAGCAAAGCGGGAGAGGGGCGCCTGGGTGGCTTAGTCGGTTAAGCGTCCGACTTCCACTTAGGTCATGATCTCACGGTTCGTGGGTTCGAGCCCCGCGTCGGGCTCTGTGCTGACTGCCAGCTCAGAGGGTGGAGCCTGTTTCAGTCTGTGACTCCCTCTCTCTCTGACCCTCCCCTGCTCACGCTGTCTCTCTCTCTCTCTCTCCTAGAAATAAATAAAAAACATTAAAAAAAAAAAAAGATAAAGCTCATTAAAAAAACAAAAACAAAAAAGCAAAGCGGGAGAGAGGGTTTTATCTGTGCCCCAGAGCTCACTAACAGAAAACAGTTATATAGCACAGATCTGGATTTTAAAAATTCTGAATTTAAAAAATTTTAAAGTTTTCTGATACCCGCTGGCTTAGCCAGTAGAGCATGTGACTCTTCATTTTGAGGTTGTGAGTTCAAGGCCTATGCTGGGCACGGCCCTACTTAAAATTAAAACAAGGGGTGCCTGGTTGAGCATCCGACTTCAGCTCAGGTCATGATCTCGCGGTTCATGAGCTGGGGCCCCGCATCGGGCTCACTGCCGTCAGTGCAGGGCCCGCTTGGGACCCTCCGTCACCTTCTCTCTGTCCCTCCCTGGCTTGTGTGCCTGGTCTCAAAAACAAGCAAACATTTAAAAATCAATAAATGAATGAACGTTTTTTAAAAAAATCAAAACCTGTCCTTTGGATAAAAACCATCTTCCTTTGGATAAGTACCTTCCAAGAACGTATTAAACTACCTCCTAGCACCTTACACGGGAACACTGTGCCTCGGGCGGTCTCCTGACGCCCCGGCAGCTGTAACCACAGACACAAGCGCGGTCTATGTCCGCATGCTGTGACGGAGACGATCACCTTCACGTCTAGCGGCCCCGTCAGCTATTCTTTGCCAGTGCTTGTGTCTAGTTTTCTGGTTTCCCTTCTGTTATTTCCATTCACGTGAAGGCAGAAAACCAGAGAACCAACTGTTTGTAAAGCGAGTATAACCCGAGGAAAAATCGGTTTTATGTGTCATCTTCGTGACCCAGGAATTTTAGATAATCCAAGTTACTGGAAGTATAAGCTCCAGATAAGCGTGTTCACAGCAGTGCTGTCCTCACAGCCACAACGGAAAACCCCACAAACCTGACAGCAGACTCGGCAGCGCCCCCTCCAACCTCTGGAAAAGCCTGACAGGCTGTCTGGGAGCCAGAGCCGACATGGAGGTCTTATAAGGCCTACCAAGTAGCACAGGTGACAGCCACGCCACGGAGCAGAATGTTCTAGAAGCTTGAGGGAAAAGGCAGCGAAGGGCGAGTCAGACAAGGGGCACAGGGTGGGGAGGGTGGCTGAGGGTATGGTGGAGCTCACTCAGAACCTGGGCGTGCCCAGGACAAGGGGCACGCGGGACGAGGGGCACGCCAGAGAGGCGGGGCGTCTGGACAGCAGCCCCTGCCCCCCACACCCACAGCACGAACACTGCTCACACCAGCGAGGTTCCACCACTGCCCTGGGCGGGCACCTGATGGGGCACACACGCCGCGCCGCAGAAGCGTCGGGCCAGGGCCACAGGGAGGGAGCAGGCTGCGCCCTCCAACGTCACCTTTTCTTTTCTTGCTCCTCCTTCTCGATCTTGTGGGAAGCGACATACGTGGCAAAGAGACGGCAACACCTGTTGAGGAGCTTCACAAACTCCACCATGGCGTCCTCTTTGGTCGTGTTTCCCAGGGCTGCCCATTCTCTCCTGGAGGGAGGACGAGACGGGTCAGCCCTTCTCCGCAGAGCGGCAACGTGACTTCACGTACACCTACACATGAGCAATTCGCAACCACAACTAAAACGGACAGCGACCCTACTATGGAGCACAAGGCTCGAGTCCTCCAGTTTCAACCAGAAAGTGCGATTCAGAGCATGAGCCACGCCACGCGCGACCCAAGCTCACTACCGCAGCCGCGGTCTGACCGCCGGCAAAGGGGCCTTTCCCCGCTAGCAAAGGGGTCTCGAAGCTTTACGTTCCTCCTGTCACCTTGTTTTACTTGTCACTGAACACACTTCCCAGCGCATTCTTTTTCTGCCACGACTCTGGGCGTGTCCCAGTAAGGACATCGGCTCCTGAATATCGTACGTGGCCGCTTCTCATGTTATTTGGGGAGATAGGAGTCAAGCTGACTTGTCTCGTGTTCATAATCAGAGGAGTAAACTTCTTCCGCGTGATTTATCCATAAACCCCTCCAAGCCAAAAGCAGACACACGCGGGAAGACCCCCAGAAGCTGCGAGCAGAAATGCCGGTTTGAGTCTCACTCTGTGCTAAGGAGCCCACTGTTTACATCTTAACCGACCCCCTTTCTACTCTTCTCTACATAACTCTCGCTAAGTTCGGTATACAACAAAACACCGTTACCTCCTGTCATTCCCCAACACATCAAAGAATCCAACCTCAGGACAAGTGTCTGGATTATATGGGCCCATAAGAACCTGCTTATGCAGTGCCACCAGCTTCAGTTTTTCTTCATAAGTTGGATGAAAGGCTTTGCCATCTTTTTCTGGAAGAGAAAGAAATGTGAAAACAATGAGAATTGGCAAAAAAAGAACTTTTGGTATCCAATGCCGACGTCTCGCTCTCTAAGGTATGTCACAAACTACCTGTGATAGATATGAACCTTACAGTGAGTTTTATTTCAAATACTAAATTTTAAAAGCAGACACCCTTTATGTGGAGTTTTGTGTTTTGTTTAGTGAAGCCAAGCACCAATATTTATGTTAAAACTTCTACAGAAGAAGCCAACCTGTCAAGCCGACAGGCACGCGCATACAAACTGTACCACTTACATCATTTACACACATTAAAACGTGTGCAACAATCATTTTTATGGTTATTTAATTTTATTTTATTTCAGAGAGAGAGAGCACGGAAGCAGGGGAGAGGGGCAGGGGAGGGAGAGAGAAAGAGAGGGAGAGAGAACCCCATGCAGGTTCCACGCTCAGTGTAGAGTCCAATGCAGGGCTTGATCCCACAACCCAGGATCATGACCTGAGCCAAAATCAAGAGTCAGACACTTGGGGAGCCCGGGTGGCTCAGTCGGTTAAGCGTCCAACTCTTCGTTTTGGCTCAGGTCATGATCTCATAGTTCAGGAGTTCCAGCCCCTCACCAGGCTCCACCCTGGGGAGCCTCTTTGGGATTCACTCTCTGCTTCTCCCCCTCACCCTGCAGGCTCTCTCTCTTTCCCACTCTCTCTAAATAGACTTAGAGAAAATTTTTAAAAATTAAAAAAAAGTCGAAAGTAGTATAAATTGCCTACAAATTTTATCCACATATGTAGTAGTCACCAAAATCAAATCACTGATGAGAGAAGAATGTGGGTTAAAGGTTATGAACAGGAACCTCAGGAGGAAAAAAAGTAGAAGTGGCCAATAAGCATCCCAACATATTTAATCAACTAGTCAAGGAAATGGAAATCGAATGGAAATACCAAACCATAACCAAAATTCCTGCCATCATATGGCCAAAAAAAGTTAAGTGACATCAAGAGTTGGTAAGAACGGGACAGAGGGACCCACGCTCACACACAAATGCTGTTAAGTCCACGCTGTCCCAGTTATTTGGGAAGACAACTTAGCAACAGATTTCAAAATCATAAAGGTGCGCCCCCTACGGTCCAGTACTTGCAATTCTTGTTCTCTCCCCTTGATACTGACCGGAATACACAGACAGAGGAGCTGCAGGGATATCCACCGCCGCGGTTTTCCTGCCCTCCTAAACAACCTAAAGTTCCGCAAGAAAGAAACAGCTAAATAACGTAATCTACTCGGACTGCGGCATCTATGAAGCAACTACAGGAAACAGTGAGTGTAAAAAGCAAGTGGCAGAAAGCGACAGGCAGGCAGGGTGCACGCTGCATTTCACTGATTCTAAGCACCCCCCGCTCGCGACCACACACTTGAACATCTCTGAAATCAGATTTGGTTTTACAATCTGACATTTTATAGATAAAATAAGTAGTTTTTCTTTCTCAATAGTATGTAAGGTAATCGTGAGTCTTAAAAAGAAAATAAAAACGGGGCGGCTGTGTGGCCCCATGGAACATAGGACTCAGAATCTCAGCTCAGGTCATGATTTCACAAGTGGAGTTCGAGTCCCACGTCAAACCCTGCACTGACAGTACACAGCCTGCTTGGAATTCTGTGTCTCCTCCTCTTTCTCTCCCTGCTCCTCCCATGTATGCGTTCTCTCTCTCTCTCTCTCTCTCTCTCTCAAAAGTAAACTAACTTTTGAAAAACGTGGGGGAAAAAATCTTAGAATCGACACAATACAGCATGTGAACACACCCACACACATCCTACAGGTGCGTTTACGCGACTGTAAGTGCAAATAAAAAAATTTTTAAAAATAATAAAAACTTCAGAAGTCACATTAAAGGAAACTACCGGAGCCTCAGAGAACTGAAGCCTTACTTGCAATCTCTGATTCTTTCAAATCAAAGGAAAATGTGCGGAAGAATAAGCTCTTAACTGTTAAGAGGAGTTTCCCTCTTCTAGATACTTGTATGTACCCAAATTTTTTTTCAGCAAGAACAAACTCCTGCAATACTTGGAAAAAATAAATATTAAGAGAAGACAAAACTGCGACACCAATCTCATTTATTTAATAAAAATCAAAACCACTCCAGTAGCCCGCGGGCTGCCACCTGTCTTTGCTGCTGAGGAAACAGTATCGCTAGACAATCAGTACCAAGGAGTAACTTCCTCTAACGCTTTCTGAACCAGATTATCGGAGTTACATATTCACCAACTAACAATTCCCACCTAAAAATCTCTCAGAATGCTATTTCAGGGCGCCTGGGAAGCTCAGCTGGTTAAGTATCTGACTTGGTTTCAGCTCCGGTCATGATCTCAGGATTCATGGGTTCAAGCCCTGCATCAGGCTCTTTGCTGACAGTGCAGAGCCTGCTTGGGATTCTCTCTGCCCCTCCCTGACTTGTGAGCGTTCTCTCTCTCTCTCTCTCTCTCTCTCTCTAAATAAATAGAAGGTTTGTTTTTTAAAACCAAAAAGGAACTAATCTAACTATACCATTTTGAGCCTTATAAGAAGAAATGATGTGCTGGTGACTCAAGGTGCAGTGAGCCTGAGAACAGCAGGGAGCCTGAATTCTACAGAAGTGGTTGCTTTGACCAAATAAATGTAAATAAAGATAAAATCAGATGGAAACTTTATCCACTAGAAAGCCAAACACTTTTCCGATTAGTCATGTAATATAGTAATTTTCAAACACACATATACACACACACTCTCTCTCTCACTTGCTACAGGGAGAGGATTTGAAACTAACAGTCTAGGAGATATCAAAACCGTTTTTTCTAGCCTATGACTACTACTCAGTTATTCCAGTGGAGGGAGGGTCCATTTCTTACCAGGTAATGAGTTTACTCCTTTATTTCAAAGACTCAGCAGGGCAAATTAGGAGCCGGGAAAGGAGGGAGAGGATAAGTAAACAAGGAAACTGCAATAATTACTTAGCAAGTTGTTAGGCTAACCTCCTTCCCTGAAAAGTGACTCATCCACAGGCAGGGTGAGTTTCGGGATTTCTGAACGTTGTTTTAACACCCGCCCTTTTTACACCTGCCTGGCTCAAGTGGAGAAGCAAAGGGCTCTCGATCTCTGGTTTGTGAGTTTGAGCCCCAGGCTGGTTGTAGAGATCACTTAAAAAAATCTCACCAAAACAAACAAACAAAAGGAAACACATAGAAATGTCATCCTTCTGAAAGATTGGCTTACAGATTTTTTCTTTATTCGTCTTTTATTTTCCCAAATTTTCTTCAATATGCATAATGTATTTTCATATCACATACATGGATGCTTTTTTCTTTTTTAACAAACATTTGTAAAAATCCAGGCAACTTCTCTTTCAGCCTTTGGGACAAGGTAAACAGATCTATTATTCTCCCCTGAGGAAGAGCCAACACCCAGGAGGATGTGCAAATAACCCAGCAGGGCACCCACGTGGTGCTCTGCTCTCAAATTAAGATTTATTTAGTTTTCCAAGACAGAGGAGAATAATTTTCACCACTTTTGGTTCTACAGTCGTTAAAGACGCTTAACAGGAAAGCTATAACTACCATTAACTACAGAGAACAAACCTTGATGAAGCGCAAAGATCTCTAACGAGGACCACAGCCCTAAAGGAAAGCCCTGGTTCAGTCCTCCCAGAACGGAATAACACAGCCATGATCCGAGGCTCCTGCAGTCACACAGGTAATTATTACCCAGTTCTATTCAATTCTGGAACTCTGCTTTCTACGGCAACCAGAAAACAAACATAAATACGCTTAGAGAGAACCTGCAGAGCTACTCCTTGGGTACAAACGCATAAAGCGCAGCAGACCACGGCCACCTCCATCGCCCGAGGGGGCGTGGCCGCTGAGCGAGCCCTCGACTGAAAGGACTGAAAGAGATGGCCTGTTGGCATCTGTCCAGCAACCACTATTCTAAAAAGTTGATTTTCTATAAAACTGAAGATCAGTAAAAGCTGAAAAATCTGTTTTACCTCAAGGAGTCGAAAGCAGGGCCTGGCAAATTGGAAGAACCACGCCCACAGCTGTTTTTGTAAGAGCTGGGAGCTAAGAATGGCTTTGGTAAGTTCTATGGTTTGAAGTAAGTTCTATGCCCAACGTGGGGCTTGAACTCATGACCCTGAGATCAAGAGTTACGTCTCTACCGACTGAGCTGGCCAGGTGCCCCTGGCTTTTATGTTTTTTTAAGAGTTGTAAAGCAACAACAAAAAAAGCAAAAATAGAAAAACAAAAAAACAAAGGATATGAACACAGACCATATGTGGCCATTAAAGCCTAAAATACTATCTGAACCTTTAGCATTTTTTTTATGTTTATTTATTGAGAGAGACAGACAGACAAGACATTATGTGAGCAGGGGAGAGGCAAACAGAGAGGGGGACACAGAATCAGAAGTAGACTCCAGGCTCCAAGCTGTCAGCACAGAGCCGGATGCTGGGCTCAAACATATGAACCGTGAGATCATGACCTGAGCCGCAGTCGGACACTTAACTGACTGAGCCCCCGGGACGCCCCATATCTAGCCATTTTATAGGGAAAGTCTGCTGACTCCTGACTGGAGGAAGAAGTAAACTCAGAAGGCAAATGATTTCCAGGTTTTTTTTTTTAAATGTTTTATTTATTTCTAGGGGGGAGAGAGACTGCGTGAGCAGGGGAGGGTCAGAGAGACAGGGAGTCACAGAGTGAAACAGGCTCCAGGCTCTGAGCTGGCAGTCAGCACAGAGCCCGACGCGGGGCTCGAACCCACGAACTGCGAGATCATGACCTAAGCGAAAGTCGGACGCTTAACCGACTAAGCCACCCAGGCGCCCCTCCGGATATAATTTTTAAATTCCACTGTAACTAAAAGGAGAGAGAATATACTTATAAACTTCAAGCTAAACATGATGGATTAAACACACACCATTAGCTCTGATCCTCAATGAAAACCCACAATGAAAAGAAATAAGGCAGGCAATTTAGAGAACCCGAGGA